CAGTTGTTTTGAATTTGAATAGATCGGACTTATGCTTGAGAAACTCTTCGTGATGGGGAAACTCAGGACTCTGGGCACATATCATTGGCAGATGATGGATATGCACTAATTAGCATACGATGTAATCACATGTTAATTCAAATGATGAATACTAATTAGTAAGAGATTTGCCTAATTACCTAGAGATTAAATAGCTTTCCGCTACAAAACATCACGTAAATCTTCTTTTTTTTTTTTTTTTTTTTTTTTTTTTCTCAAAACACATAGAAGCAGAATACGAAAAACCTACAAATAAATCGACTACAATGGCCTTAAGAAGTGGTCAGTATATGTCAATTTTGCACCTTTTGATGCCTGTGCATAAGCGCAAAACATGTTATACACTTGAATGTTTAAAATTCAAACTTAGCTGGCTGCTTCAAAAAAAAAAAAAGGAGAAAGAGTGAGAACTACCTCTAGTATCGCAGCGGGTTACTAATCATGCTAACCGGGTACACTATTACGGCAGTGGGCTACTGTTCGTAACCCAGTATGATACTAGTGGTATTTTAGGTATTCCAGGATTATTATCGTTATATTTTCTGCAATTTTTATTTTTATTGGAAAAATTAATCTATTTATATGATATAAAAATTTATAAACTTTTAGCGGATTTTGTTTAGTATGATGGATCATTTGTTAAATCACTTTAGTTATTTGTATAAATCTGTAATTGTGATATTTATTTAATCAAATGAAATTATACACTATAAAGAACTTCTAATATTAGGGGGAAGAATTTCGGTGTTAGAAACTATCATTTTTCATATTGGTAGGTATAGTATTTATTTATTGGATTAGTTTTCTAATGATTTGATCTCACATGCAATAAATTTTTAAGGCATGCATTGATCAAACTATCGAAAAGTAAATTAAACAATTAAAATAACATTTTCAGTAAATAATTTCAAATTAGTATGTAGGTACGATATCTTAATTATATCTTAAGAAATGGTGAAATGAGAATTTTATGGTGCCGAAAGAAAAACTAGAATTATGATAATTTGTGAATATTATATTGGAACTTACAAACTTAAAACATTGGAATTACATAAGTTACAATAAACTTGTGAATTCTGAATGAATATGGTAACTTGTGAATTTTACGTTCAAACTTGCAAACTTTGGATGCTAAACTTATAAGAAGTACAATTCATTTCTGAACCGGCACGGTGCCTTTAAGGCACCATAGAAGGATCGTGGTGAAATTTTACGAGTATGGGGAGTAAAAAAGCAAAAAGTCAAGATTGAAAATTAGGAGGGAGAAGTCAGAAATTGGATTAGACATCTACACGTGTCATTCCTCAATCTTTTGTACGAAAAATTATTCAATGGACTAGGTGTACTAAGTCATTTTGCTTATGTAATTTCAAAAACACCCCCCAAACTATGACCCTTGTAACACTTTACTCCCTGAACTTTAAAAAGTAACATCCGTTCCCCTTGAATTTTATTCCGTTAACAAATTTTTTCCTTATGTTACAATCAGTTTCGAAATTCACCACGTGTTAGACACATGACCCATATGAGGAGGGTATTATCGTAAATTAACCTGTAACAACCCTTCCAAGCGTTAAAGAAAGAAAATTCAGATCTTGAACAACATAAAAATCAGGAAAAAAGGACCCAAAAGACACAAGATCAAAAACATGATCAGAACAATGAAACCAAGACGAAATGTGACAATAAACTTACTGAGAAAATCAGCATTATCAAGATCCTTGACACTAACAAGAAGAACTTCAAGCGTTCCTTGAGGCATCTTTTTTTTTTTTTTTTGGCCGGAGAAAGCAAGCGAGAATATTCAAAGATCATAATTGAGATCTCACAACTTCTCTCATCTTTATTCTGCATTCAATCATAAAATAAAACAGATTCAACCCACATCCTCAATCAAACCCAAATGAACTAGATTCAAGGCAAATATACAAAAGCTTTTTCTTCCAATGTTAAACGATTTACCTTATACTGAATGCACCCATAAAATTGTCTTCTCAGATTCTTCTTCATGTGTGATGTCTTCACTACCGGATCCAACCCACATCGAGGGAATGAAGGTGGTGAATTTTTTCAATAAAAATGGGGAATTATCTGATTATGATGGTATAAGCGCAATTGCACTTTCAATTCTCACTAAATAAGTGACACATGACAATTCTGTCACTCATTGTAACAGAAGGGGAAAACTTGTTAACGGAACAAAGTTCGGAAGAATGGATGTTACTTTTCAAAGTTCAGGGAGTAAAGTGTTACAAGAGTCATAGTTCGGAGGAATTTTTGAAAGTAATCCTTCCTACTTTGCAGTACTAGCTAGGCTTGTTGAATGCACGCAATTTTCCTACTCTCTAGAAGAGTTTCAATGACTTTGTTACGGGGTGACATTATATAATAATATTATCTACTTTTGTTGTCCTCTAGTTATGTGTTTTGTTTGTTACATGCGAATCCATTTATTTGTTATGTCATGTCATAACATAGTTTTATTATTAAGGAGTCTTTAGGGTGGAACATGTTATTTTATTCTATTGGTAGAAACTGTATTTTTTTATTAGATTAATTTCTCAATGGTCAAACTGTAGGAGGAGCAGTTCTGTGTGGCGTGATGTAAATTTTTAATACAGACATGCGCAGATCTAAAGGTTAAAAAACTAATCCAACGATTAAAAACAATTGTTTCCACTAATAAAATAAAATAACATGCTCCACTATAAAGATTCTTTTATTGTGATGGATAGCAGGCTTCACATGATTTTATTGATCTATAACTTTGTAACCCAGTATGATACTGGTGGTATTTTAGGTATTCCAGGGTTATTATCGTTAAATTTTCCGCAATTTTTGTTTTTATTGGAAAAATTAATCTACGTATATGATATAAAAATTTATTAACTTTTAGAGGATTTTGTTTAGTATGATAGATCATTTGTTAAATCACTTTACGTATTTGTATAAATCTGTAAGTGTGATATTTATTTAATCAAATAAAATTATCGTCTTAAGAGAATATTCTACACTATAAAGAACTTCTAATATTAGGGGGAAGAATTTCGGTGTTAGAAACTATCATTTTTCATATTGATAGGTATAGTATTTATTTATTGGATTAGTTTTCTAACGATTCGATCTCGCATGAAATTCGATCTCGCATGGAATATTTTAACGCAGACATGCATTGATCAAATTATTGAAAAGTAAATCAAACAATTAAAATAACATTTCCAGTAAATATTTTTAAATTAGGATGTGGGTATGATATCTTAACTATTTCTTAAGAATATGGTGAAATGAGAATTTTATGGTGCAAGAGAAAAACTGGAATTATGATAATTGCGAACATTATATTGAAACTTACAAATTTAAAACATTGGAGTTATGTAATTTACAATAAACTTGATTCTAAATGAATATGATAACTTGTGACTTTATGTTAGAACTTGTAAACTTCGGATGCTAAACTTATAAAAAATATAATTGATTGGTGAACCAGCAAGGTGCCTTTAAGGCACCATAATAAAAGGATCGTGGTGAAATTTTGGGAGTAAGGGGAGTAAAGAAGCAAAAAGTGAAGACTGAAAATTAGGAGGGAGAAGTGAAAAATCGGATTGGACATCTACATGCGTCATTCCTCAATCTTCGTATGAGAAATTATTTAGTAAACTGCATGTACCACGTCATTTTATTTATGTGATACACCCGTTTAGTGAAAATCTACTATTTGAAGACTTTGTCTATGTCAACATTTTATACTTATATCTCATTCCAAATGAATATTGTATTTATTATTAAGTCAAAACCACCATAACTATTCTACTCAATTTCTTTATTTTAATCAATTAACTTTAAATTATTATTTTTATTTCTAAAATACTATTATGTAATTAGCTTTGTCAATTAGCAACACTATTATTCTTCACTCTTTAAAATTTTTACTTTTATTTCTAAAATACTATTTTTACTATAGCTTAGTTTGGTAGTACTGTGGATTTTAAAAAAATTATTTTTAACTGTCCTGAATGAAAAAAACGGTTGTTACAAAAAATAACTGAGTGTTTGGTAAACTATAATTATACTAGTTGTGCTGGTTCCAAAATCAGTGTAGTAGCGTTTTGTAAATTGTGATATTGAATTACTGTGGGTAGTTAAAATGACCAAAATAGACATGATATGAAACTTAAATATATCATTATTTTTGGTATTTAGAAATACTTTTTTGACTTAAAAAAAACATAATGCTATGATTCTGAGTTTTCTAATAATAAATTTATAATAATTAATTCTTTTTTCATTTCTTCATTCACAATATAGTTACAATAAAAATGAACATTAGTGAGTAATCAACATATACAATAAAAATATACATTCTATGTTCAAAAACCTCACAAAGAAACCTCATAAGAACCACTATTATTAGATACCTTAGAAATCCAAGAAAATTTGAAAAGTAACAAACAACAGAGCGAAAAAGATCTCCAATCATCTAATGGTGTAGCTAAATTCAATGTGTCATAGCAAAGTACGAAGGAAAAAAAGAAGTGATGAGAGTTTTGGGTAAAAGGGAATAAAGCAAGATTATAGTATGTGAGGGTAAATAAGGACACAATTGATCATTTTTTTAACATTTTAAGGGTATTTATAGTAATTAATGTTATCAAGTGATTGACCGAGAATCTAAAAGCAAAAGCATCAAAATTGCCGCTTCTACTTTTAGGTGCTTATTTAGTAAAATTCTCTTAAAATTAATTTTTGCACTTTTTACCAAACACTAAAAGTAGTTATGGATGGATGTGGAATCACTCTTTGAGCTCTGAAAATCACTACCAAACGGACCTAAAGAGAGTGAACAAATCCGCTGCACCATAACTTTAAATTTGTTGCTTGTAAGATTAAACAAGTCGTAAAATTAATCTCATAGTTAAATTTTGTACTTACCGGTAGTGACAGATGACAGTTTCTACCGTATACATATAATTCATAATCAATCATATCCACTAGCACCCAAAACTGAAAACCAAACCAGAGAGCAAAGCAAAATCCAACAACACATACCAAAAATGGCGTCCAAATTGACGATCACCACCACCATCATCCTGATCTTGTTGTCTTCTCCGTCATGGTCGCAGGCATCAACGGTTACGGAGCCAGTTCCCACCCCAACACCCTGGCCCCACCAATTCCACTCGATTCTGGTGATGCAGCTCAACGGGACTTACCAGATAATCGACCTCTGGTACGACTGGCCCAACGGCCGCAACTTCAACATCATACAGCACCAGCTCGGCAACGTCCTCTACGACCTCGAATGGAACAACGGCACTTCCTTCTTCTATACCCTCGACTCCTCCCGCCAGTGCTCCTCCGCCCAGCTCGAGTTCGGCATTCTCCGCCCCAACTGGCTCGACGGCGCCAACTACCTCGGCCAGCGAAATGTCGACGGTTTCCTCTGTAATGTCTGGGAGAAGGTTGACTTCATTTGGTACTACGAGGATGTTCTCACTAAACGCCCTGTTCTTTGGGTCTTCTACACTGGTACTTTAGTTTTCCTGATTTCCCCCTTTGAAATTTTGAGTAGCTTTGCGAGAATTATGGTTTGTTTGGTTTGGTAATCATGGATTTGAGCTTAAGAAATTTTGATCAGAGAGTTGGGATTTGTTAGTTTGTTCGGACTTTGTACATAGTTGGGTTTGGATAGGGGGGGCAATTTGAAAAGAAAAAGATAACCATAATGGTTGGTTCTACATGGGTTTTCTAGAGAGGTTCTACATACTAAAATAATCATAATAATAATAACAACAAAAGACGAATGTTTGGTTCCATAGTACCAGCTCTGAAAGAGATATGATGCATTCGAGCTGGTTTTCAGCATAGAGAACATTCTAGTATCTCTTCGCGGAATCGGGTATGAACAGAGTTGAATAAAATTGCTAGTTCTATAGACTGTAGCCTTATTGTATTATAACTATGAGTTGTGGCATCGGATACTACTGCAAGAGGGTTTTTTTTAAGGGTCGGACATAGTGACATCGCTCTTATTTTTTCATGAAACAACAGCACTGCTCAATTGAAAATGGTAGAATTATGATCCAATGCTCTTACGATATTGCAATATGCAGGGAGAGAGGCTCACGTGATGACCTTTGAAGTGGGAGCAGTGCTTGAGGATGAGAACTGGCAAGCCCCTGTTTACTGCTTTGAATCTGATGGTAAGAAAAGCGCAAGCCGTCCCCTTCTCCAGCCTCACCTTTCTTCCGCCATCACCACAGAACGGACTTCTCAGAGATTCTAGAGGCCGCCTTCTCATGCCCCAATCCCCTTCCTATTTCCTACTGTTTCTCTATCTCCTCTACCAAGTCTAACAATGTTTGTCTCCTATTTTGTGGACTTCAATAAAGATGGCAATGGTATTCTAGTTCTGTGTCAATGGTATTTTACTATTTAGAGTGTGTGTGTTGACTCTTTGCTTCATGCTTGGCGATTGAATATTTTTGTTTGAAGTTGAACCAATATGGATACTGATTCTTCACATATGGCTAAAAGAAATCCCTACACAAAGATATCCTGAATTTAGTCCAGAAATAAGAACAAAGAAAGACAAATAGGGAGGAAAGAGAAACAAGAAATTGCTAGCACAAAAGTGGGCTTCCATTGGAATCAGCAAAGTATCACCTCACAAGCAATATCTAGAAGCATTCAGTCCATTCTTATAAGTTTTTCTGGTTCTTCTTTTCTTCATAGTGAGAAAAGGTGACAAAAAATTTGCATTTCACGTTCTCTGATATCTATGAGCTGGTGCAATGTGAATTAAAACTGCTCTGGCATTGTAAATAGAACAATTCATGTCATTGCCGGAGCAGGAAAAAGCCAAGCTCAATTTAGCAAATCCGGGCCCCATTCTGGAGCATCTACAGAGATTACGGCTAGGAATTTGACAAACTCGCAGCATCCAATCACGCCCCACATCTCTTTGGATACAAAGAAAAGCTGTAACAGTGAGGTCTATGACTCTTTCACCATTTAAAGGGAGTACAAGGACGCCTTGGCCTCAAGACTGTTGTGATCGCTTGAGAACCAACCAACCACATTGACAGTTTAGAGCCTCATGTATTCTGTTTCAATTATGTGTTAGATCGTAATGACGACAAAGGGCAGGCCGGTTGAATGTTTCCTATTCTGTAGTTGGCTTGGTTAATGAAATTTTCCTACTCTCTAGAGGGTTTTCAATAACTTTATTAAGGGGATGACATTAATAATATAAAATTATCTATTTCATTGTCCTCTACTACTCTGCTTTATTATCACATAGCATCGTTTTATCATGTAATTGTTCTATGATCTTCTGCTTAAGTTTTGCTGTTGATAAAAGAAATTTTCTATACTAACGGTTCTTTTTTCACTGATCTTTAATACATAATTACCCTTTCTTATGCTGCAGTGCATGTATGGCCTTTTTGTTTCAGGAAAGGAACGGCAATAAGGCCTAAATATTTCTCCAACAAAGGAATAAAATTGGAAAAGTTATGAGTCGATGACTTGGTATACAACGACTAAGAGAAACTTTGACGCTGTAGTGTAACTACAAAAATTACAATAGTTATACACACACAGAGAGAGTGACTCAGTGAATAAACTGCCTAGTCATATGAAAATGTGGCCAAGCAACTATGAACTATGCTTACCACCGACTACTGTTGTCTGCATGAAAGCCTTAGCAGGTGTATTCAACTATAACCAAATATACAACTCATAGCCTTGGAGAGAGTACTCACACAGCCGTAATCGACAACACTAATGTGTCTTGCCTCACAATCAACCAGCCATTTCAACATCCAAAGGTCTGTTTCCTTCATTACCTGATGAGCTAATTGACGCTACAATGTCATCAATTCTTAGAGGAGAGTGCCTAGCCATGTACTGAAACATAATCTGCAAATATAAGATCCAAAAAGATGTAAGAAATATTATAGCATACGAGCAGTGCTAAGCAGCCTACACTCACCAATAAAAAAAACTTCATTTTAATTCCATCTAAACAACTTTGTTGCATGGAACTATTAAAGAAGGATCATATTGGAGACGAGCCAAGCTAAACAGCAACGTGGTGAACGCCGTGGCAATGACCAGAGGTTGTAATGACCAATGTTCATAACATTATGGGCTTTTTTCAATTTCTTTGAATTAATTTGAGATATTTTATATGATAGGATCAGAATATTATTAGCAATCAAGGAAAGATGGACTCCACTAAGAAGTGTAATGTAAAGCATTTTTCATTTCCACAAACCTTCGAGTCACTATCTGCAAATGCACGTGCTCCATTGGACTTGCCAAGATAGTGTAAATCAGCCTTCTCGAGTTTCCCATCCACAATAGTCAATCCCCCATCACCAATAGCAAAACGAAGAAGACTTCCGGAATGCAGTCCTGACTGAGAAGAGAAATTAGGAAAAAATTATACATAAATTTAAATGAACTTGGTAACTTTTACAAGACTTTGTGCGCTACGGATACATGGGGGGCTAGACTCACTATGTAACCCACATGTCAAAATTAAAATCAATAATAAGCGAAACCTTTTGTGTGAATTCCAAATCTAAGGAACCAAGTACTGCAGGGGGGTCATCTGACGTTGCCAGTTTAAGGTCATCTTGCAGTTCCAAAACTACCTGCCAATAAGAATAAATAGCAGCAAACTCGGACACAGTAAAAATTCTCCTCATTATTGGACCAACCGAAATCAGAAAAATAGAAACACACAAGAAACACATAAAAAAATATGCATGACAAAATACCTGTTGTTGGCTTGGAACCTGTCCTTTGCTATCTGTGTCAATAACATATTGACTACAGCTCTCATCCTTCCAAACCAAGGAAAGTGGAGTATTACCCGGTTGATAATGTGCATGCCTGAAAATAACAGCCCGGGCAACATTAGAAATCTAGTTCACTTCTAATCTAGTACACTTCCATACACATATGCCCGCACAGAAAAAAAAAAGACACTAGTTCAAAATGATATATCATCTTGCAATGAAATGCGCTGGCTTATGGCTACAAAGTGGACACTTCCCTCCCAGAGTCTCAAAAGATCTGATAAACTCATAAAGAAATGAAATAACACAATAACACCCTCTAAGGGCATCTCCATTCAATGCCGACAAGAATAAAAAAGAAAAAGAAAAAGAACTATACGACTACAAGAGAGGGACTTACTTATTGTAAAACAATAGACCGTCCTTTACATACGGCACTGTTCCTGAGTAAGCTGCCTGTAAACCACTATGATCACAGGTACAAATGGGGACCAAACTAAACCTATATTTATGATAACGCGAGGGAGGCTCACAAGCTCCAGTCTCAGCAAGCTTGGAGTTCAACCAAAAAAACCTGAACTCCGCAGCACAATCATACAAAGGGTAACCCTTCCAGCACAACATGTCAATAACATAGTAAGTCTGATCAGCCTGCGGATATCACAACCAGGTTGGCAAATTATCAAACAGTTAGAATGAAAATCCAAGAACACCAGAATTCAATTTCTTTTCACCTCGTGAAATATGCAGTCTAGTATGGAATACGAATGGCCAGACCCTGAAGCGTCTCTTGTCCTAGCTCCGTTGGGCAGCGCAGACGGGAAATGGTGTAGAACAGAGCCGTTTCTCTGCCTACTGATCGTCGTCCCATTAGAAGCGACGACGAAGCACCGCTTCCCGGAAGGCCTCGCGAAGACATACCTATCCGAATTCAAACTCTAAATTCTTACCAGAAACTCCATGAATGCACATAATATACAGAGGTGTCACATATATATAGAAAAAACGAACCAGTCAAGGGGCAATCGATCAGGGACGTCGATCATCCACTCGGGAAGCATGAGCTGCCTGGCGAACCACTTCCGAGCCTCGGCGCCTCTGAGCTTGGAAGCCTGGCTAACATCGAGGTCCTTCGAGGAGCTCTCGGCCGCTTCGTGTTCAGATTGAAGATCAGGCTCGAATTCCGGTACAATTTCGACATCGTCGGGCTCGGCGGAGGCCTGTTCGAGTGAGAGAAGCGTGGAGGCCAAACGGCGAGCCTGGAGCTGAGCGTCGCGGCGGTTCTGCTCCTGTCGCCGGAGCGACAGCTCCCTCCGCCGATGCTGGTCGGAGATCGCCGGCCTCTTGTACTGACGGCGAAGATCATGAGGCGCCATTTTCCACTTCACCTCTCTCCTATTCTCAAACTTTAAACGCTTCGTCTCTTATAAAACGACGCCGTTTTGCGCAAAAGACCTCGCAAAACTGCCGTCGTATAAAACCTAGGGCAGAGATTTTTTTTTTTTTTTTTAACAAAGAAATGGAAAGAAGTCTATGGAGTCATTTACCTCTACTAGTTCGATCGAACTCCAAGGACTCAGTGGAGTACATTCTTCAAGCTCTGTGGAGAACTCGGAAGACCGGTCTCGACGCCGCCGACCGCCATATCATTCTCGAAATGCTTCAGCTACAGAACGACTCCGATCTCGACCCGGTCAGTAATCAAACTCTGCTCTCGATCTCCATAATCGTTTTCTTCAACAAAAATTGAAGCTTTTTTTGTTGAAAATCTCTCTCTGTTCAGCTTTTGGTTTGCCTTCGGATGTTGATTCGGAGATGCGTTTACGAGAACGTAAACAAAGATGAAATCCAGAAGCTCTTCCCAGGCGAAGTCTTGCCTGAATTGCAGCGATTGTTGACGCTCTTGCTGCAGAAGTTCCAGAGAGAGTGGCGGGAAGATGCCCTCAAAGACCAGGTTTTTTTTCCATGTTTTTTAAGTGAATTTGTTAAGACCGAAAAACTTATCATTTAAATTTAGAATTCGAGTTTTATGAAGTAAATAATTTTAAAATATAATTATATTTAATTTTTTTATTATAATAAAAAATTTCACATAAAATTATATCTTAACTTAAATTAAAATTTTAAATTAATAAACTAAATAAATTCTAAATTTATTTAAAAATATATACACACATCATTCTTATGTCTTTCTCTCCTCTCATTTGTTTGTTTAAATTGAAAAATTAAATTAAAAAATAAATTTATTTAACATAAAATAATAAAAAATTTTAAATTTAAATTTTTATAAAAAAAATATTATAACAAAATAATTTAAATTAGTGAAAAATGAACGGATCCGAAAAGAAAAAAAAAAGAGAACAATTTGTCTCATTGAAAAAGAAAACAATTTGCCTCGCTTTTCTCGTATCTTAGAATTTTTATGAAAGATCGAATGAAAAAAGATTGTGTTAATTTCCTCTTTTTTACACGTTCTTCATAGAAATTGTAACAGATTAAAGTAGGATTAATTAAAAAAATCAGGAGGTAAATGTAGGAGTTTCTAAAATTGAAGAGGCGTAGATAAAAATAATTCGTAGGAAAAAAAAAAGACGGTTGATATGTATGTGTTTTTTTAGGCTGTTTTGCCTCGTCTGAAGGCGATGACTTGGGAGATGGCGAATCAAGAAGAAGAATTGACTGACCCTGTTGCTGTTATCAACTTAAAGGTAAAATCAAATCAAACGACCATTTTGGGAGCTTTTTGTATGTGAAATTAAGTAAAAAAACAAGTATTTATTTGTTCTTGTTTGGGCAGCTTCAAAGTGATACACAATCTCAATCGAAAGAGATGGAAGTGAAGTTCCAATTGGCCAAAGACACTCTAGGGACAATGCTCAAGTCCATGTACACTGTAAGAGACCAATTGTGTAATGTGGTGAGTTTTGCAACTTGGGATTTGCTTTTCCTTCTCAATAGTTTTGTATTTGAAAGTGGATAAAATGTCTCTTTTTTTTGGTTTATTAAGTAGGTTTTGTGATCAACTTTTCAGGGGGAAACTGAAACATCAAATGGGCATTTTTCTCGGGATGCCAATATGGTCTAGTTTGCTTTGGAGAGAAGGTTATTAAGACTTGTGCGCAATCTTATGCAAAGAGAAAATTGCTTTGGAGTACGTCGCGTTATTCCTGTTGTCGTTTTATCTCATTGTCGTAGCTGGCATATTAGTTTCATTTATTCGATTGATCCATTGACAGAGCTTAACATATAATCAACTTCAACATACCTCTTCCCTCTATCCCTACACCTCCTGCAACTGCGGCTTGCGTGGTGGAGCGACCGCCGAATATTTTTCACATACTCCTTTCTAATTATCTTTCTTTCGAATTCGCATCGCCCATTACAAGAATGTGAGAAATTTGTTATCATCCAGATTCCAGAACACAAACAAAAACATGTGAAGCGTGGCTAAAAATAACCGGACCAGAGTTCGAAATCAAGCAATAATAATGCAGATACAACTGGAGGACAAACATTAGAGGGAGCAACAAGGTTTGCTCGATCTGTTTATGCTTGATAACTTGATCAAATTAATAATCAAACTTTAGGGCTCCTCAAACTTGATCAAAATGTGGTCCAGTTGCGGTTGATGCTTCCTAACCTGCAAGAGAAAGATGAGATGTAGTTATGTCAATATGCTCAGTTAGTTGCAAGTATTTGCGACGCTAAATATGATACGCTTGTGTGCAGAACATGGGAATAGGTACGACATCAAGAGGTTAATCACTAAGGGCAATGTATGTTACGGGGCATTTGTATTATGACGCGGATTCAAATGACCTCACAATACACGGAAACTTAATCCCGACCATAGACCGGTTCCATCAATAATGACAAAGAGACAAGTATGGCCAAGTAAGTAGATCAGGGTTACAAGGCAAGAAACAAACAAAGCTTACTTTAACACCAGCCAGTGATAGCAATTTATGAGAAGCAATATATGCAACATTTGAATCGTTCAACTTTTTCTCAACGAAGTATATCACTTCAGCCACACCTGACTGCAAGGAAGAAGATAACTATGTTTGGAAATAATACATTTAAACCAAAAGAAAATGGCAAAGGTAATGTTCTAGAGAAGATGTCATGTTATTTTGAATTGTCCAATATGAAACAAAGAACTAGTGGTTGATTCTTATCTAGTTCCATCCAGGAGAAGACATATTAACAACGAACGGACCTGAATAATTATCTTTGCACACTCGTTGCAAGGGAACATGGTCACGTAGAGCCTCTGCAAAGAAAAGAGGCAAAATGCATCTTTGGTGTCAGATTATCAATACATCCTAAAAGCTTAAGCTAATCGGCAATGGACCAAAAATATATTTTAACATTCAGTAACAAAGAGGCAAGTATGACCAAGTGAATAGAAGATGTAAAGTAAATAAAGTCCCAAAATTTGCACACAAGCAACATAATGGTGAGAGAGAGAGAGATAAAAAATAAGAACTGTTGAAACAACTAACCTGTCCAGCAGCTGAAGCGTGATTTGTGTTTAGGACAGCGTTGACCTCAGCGTGACAAACATAACTAGAAGAGACAATAAGAGGGATTAAAGTCAACAACACAGAATTTGAAAGACTGATATCCAGAATTAAAGAATGAATAAGAGCATTATATTTCAGATGTAATGTAGAGGCAAAATATAGATCATGGACTTGCTCAAATATATATATATATATATAGATATATATATATATAGATATAGATCATGGACTCAAGAGCTTACGGATACTTGGTCTCCAGAGGATCCCCGCTTCTCGATTTCTGAAACATAAAGACGATCGTAGATCATAGATCAGAAAAAGATAAACCAAAATATTTTCAAAATACCAATCTAGATCAGAAAAGAAAATCAAAAGATGTTCTACAAATACTAACCTTTGCCCAAGGAAGCTTGTCATCCGAACAACCTCTAGGAAAACCGTTGTAGCCAATACCTGGTGAAAGAACATAGCATGAGAGTAATAAATCATAACATGTATAGAAACACAAAAGCAACAGTCATAGATAATGAATTATTAACCCATGAACAGTCAAATAAGTTTGAACAACTACACAAACTATTTCTTAGTATTTATCTCAAGTATCAGATTCAAATTTAAAGGTGCAATAAGTACAAAAAAGGAAGCTTCAAAAGTGCGTTCAATAATGGTGTTAACTCATAAAAAGTGAAAAAATCTAAAGAATTAAGGGGAACAGAAAAAAAAAAATTATTCCTTACCTAGAATTATACCATTTTCACTCACCAAGCACGCTCCAACCTATAAAAAACAGAAAAAAAATTTAGAAAACTAATTAATGTCAGTTTTAACTCGACAAATCCCGAAATCAAATAAAAATTAAAGCATTTCATAACACCGCCAATAATTAGTGATAATGAAAATAAATAAATAAATAAATAAAGGAGACGAAAAGTATGACCTGCCTGTTAGGATCTTTGGATCTTTCCGCTGATAAGAATGCTATAGCCATGAAATAATCATCCCATGACAAATATCTAACGATAAAAAACCAAAAATGAAAGAAAACAAAAATTAAACCCTTGCAAATGTTCAAACTCTTAACAGAAACAGATCAGTCTGAACAAACAAAAAGGGGCAAGATTTTGCCGTTTCGTGACGTACCCTTTTCGTTTCGAGGGATCGAAGGGGCTCTGAGAAGAGCAATTCTTCCGAACGACGCCGTTCGCCGGCGAATCGGATCGGCGGCGAGATTGCTTGTTGCTGTTGAAGGAGAAGAAGAAGCGAAAAGCGAATGCGGAAGCTATGGCGCCGAAAATCGTGGCTGTGGAGATTAGAGTAAGCTCGCGAGGGTTCATGATCATGGAGGTCAAATGACAGATACGATCTTTCTGATTCTGATACCTAATTTCGAGAGAGAGAGAGCGAGAGAGCTCAAGGCGCCATTGAAAGTGGCGGGAGAGTTAGCGCGCGTAGAGATGTGTGTATGGAAGGAGGAGTGACAAATGGATTTGGACTTTGTCGTGTAATGGGCCAGTCCGTTGGACCTGCTTGGGCAGGACCCAGCCCAATCCTTAGTCTTCTTTTGTTCTATTTTTTCGTCAAATTCTAGGCACTTAACAGAAACACCACAATTTTTATGCATGGATTGATATATGCCGGAAGACATAAACTATCAAAGAAACTTAAAAATCATAAAATTTCCAAAGTTACAAATATATAAGTGAAAAATCACAAAATTCTCACAAAATCTAAAAATACTAAATCAAATACGCAAAAGTATAAGTACAATTTTACTCAGTATATAAAACTTAAATGATGTCGATGTGGTATATTTTGTAATAATTTATGTACCTATATGAAAGTCAATCCAACCTTAAAAATTATGGTATATTGCCTAAATATCTCCAAATTTCTAAGCGAATATAGTAAATAGTATATTTTTGAAACTAAATTAAGTAAATAACAGCTTTTAAAATTACTTAAAATAAATAGGACTTTCCGTGATAAATGAATCATTTACCGGGTAAATGGTTCATTTACGGCTAGTAAAATCATTCTTTTCACGTAAATTTTCTTTTAACGAATGGTAAAAAGATTTTTTATCACGTAAGTTATTTCTTACCATTGTAAATGAATCATTTACCTTGGAAACTGATATTTATTTCACGTAGTTTTAAAATCTATTATATACTTAAATTAGTTTTAAAAATCTGCTATTTACTACAAAATTTCCCTAACTATATGAGTCAATAGGGTATTAATCAAGAAAAATAGGTAAAAGTTCAGACTCATACACTCTAAAGAAAAGTTCAACAATTTTCAATTTCTCATATTAGCATTTTGTTTGGGACCCATGATAATAGTACGAACCTTGCATTTTGTAATAGGAACCAGCTAGCAGGATTTAGTTTGGAGTCCACATTTTATAGTAAAGTCCACAATTTTATTAGTGGTAATGTTTAACACCAGTAGTGTACTCGAACATTTTGAAAAGAAAGCTGAATGGCTGAATGACCTAAATGCTAAAGTGATTAAGTGAAGCCGTACATGAAGCCGTACACTGTGAAAATAAGTTACGAATTTCTGTTATTGTGATATGTCTTACAACCATGCATATTCACCATACCTTTCAATCAAACGGGTATACCTAAGAGTGACACATAAAACAAGTAACACCAACATTTGGTTGAATATTTTTTTAGTCAACCCACAATGAGCAAAGGGGTACCCCTAGAAATGGGGGTGAAATTGGGACCCCCCCCAAAAGAACCAAATTGATGAAGGTCTTAGTTGGAGACCATGATAGATAAATCATTGTCCAAAAGCGACCTCCATCACTTCCTCAAATGGGGTTTATGTAAGGGCGGTTTTCTTTGGAGCAGATAAATTTGGGGCACATGCCCTAAAAAGCTCTCCCCCCTACATTTCTCAAACTTTCACATGCCCCATGACCGACCTCAAAATCCCACAAAACTTTCCTCTTTAAAGTTAACTTTCCATGGTTTTTATGGCAGCATCTTAGGGACAAATAGATACCAACAACTCGGTGTTTTTGGGGCCCTTGCTTTGGTGGCACCTCGCTGTACTCACACAGATTCACTCGTGAGAACAAAATCTTAAATCTTTAATAATTACTAGACGGCAATCCTTATACAAATCTTGGTGTTTGTACCATTTAATAACAAGAATTTACTGTAAAGTGTGTAAAGTGAGCCTCTAATGGTTAAGCTCCAATCCCACCATTCTTAGGTTTGCAAAAGGAGCAATAACTGCGCCTAGAACTACAAAATTCTGAATTCATAACCACTTGGTAGGTGATAGAACTTTTACAATAAAAATAAAAATATATATATATATTTTTCCCACATATTTTTTTTGGGGTTTGATAAACTGTAAAGTAAACCCATATGGCATTACTCAAAAGTCTCAAATAAACCCATATGGCATTACCCAAAAATCTCAAATAACTCGTTGTTGTGTTGCAAGAGGACCACCACTAGTCACAAGGCATGTATCAGCATGTTATTGAGTAATCTTCCTTATGATATATTTGTTAAAGAAATATATATATATATATATCATGTATGTGCAAATGGTCAAAAAAAAAAAAAACATCAAACAATTCCTTCATTCCCCATACTTTTCATAATCAATAGATTCTTTTATCTGTCTACAGTTTCATTTGTTGAAGCTTGGATTCTTCTAGCGAGTTTAAGTCAACGTCGATGCAACTCCCCCATCTCCAACTATGTTGATTCCAGCCACGGCAAACAAGAACTTCTTATGAGATTGTTCGACGGATTGGAGAGGCTCATTCACCAACACCTCTGTCGTTGCACTATGCGGGGGAAAAAAATTTGTAACGTTGTATGGTTCATGGTCGATTTGCATTAAAAAAATGATAGCGAAACTATATGCTCCCTTCATTTTACCGATTTGAATTTAGAATTTGAGTTTTGTTACAGTAAAAAGCTCTCAGAAACAATCACATCTAACTTTTTTGTTACAATAAAAAGCTCTCACATAAAGTTACATCTTAACTCGAATTAAAAATTTAAATTAACGAATTAAATGGGCCCTAAGGATGATTTCAAAGTCAACCTTGTATGAATGACATGTAAAGGTTTTTCACTCATTTGTAGACTATTCGTGATGGAGGGGGCCGAGGGGCCAATTACATAACAATTACAAAGACCAGAACGTTGTGCTGTATAAATTAAAAGCTAGGGGCCAACTTAAGATTAGGTGTACGGTTTGAGGGGGGTGATGTGTAAAAATAAAACTTTATTTTTCTCTATAATGTATGTATGGGTTTCCCCACGGCTAAGTGGAGATGGCCGAGTTGGTCTAAGGCGCCAGATTAAGGTTCTGGTCCGAAAGGGCGTGGGTTCAAATCCCACTCTCCACATTACCATGTTGTTTTGCATTTTAATCTTTTTATTTATTTTTTTTATTTTTCGAAGCCGAAAGGTCAACTTTAAAGTATTTGTACGAATTCTAAATTTTCTCAGCATTTGTTATAAGAAGTGTTTATGATTAAAGACGAATGCTAGAACACATCGACTTTACAAGAAAAGATTAAAGATCAATGCATGCACATGTCCATGGCATTATTAGACTTTTCAATAATATCAAGGCAGTCTTTTTTTTTTTTTTTTATTTTTTTTTTCCTTTCTTTTTTTTTTTTTTCAATTTTGATCATAAAAATTCTCAAAAAAAAAAACAACAATTTTTTCTTAATAAAATTCAATGTAAATCTTATGCCATCTATTTAAGATTGTAAAATGAAAAAAACATGTATTCTAAATGACTTTCCAGATGAAATTTCAACCCCCCCAAAAAAAAGGAAAGATAAAAAATAAACTCTTTATTTTCTTCTTTTTTTTTTTTCTTTCCGGGAAAAGAAAAAAAGATTTACCTATAACTTCTTTAGTTCCTTTATTTTTCCTTTATTTATTTATTTATTTATTTTGATAAATAAGATTCAACCTCTTACTCACTCACATGATGAGAGAGGAAGAAAAGTCGATCTAAAAAGAGGGACAAAAAAAAAAACAATTTTTTCTTAATAATATTCAATGTAAATCTTATGCCATCTATTTAAGATTGTAAAATGAAAAAACATGTATTCTAAATGACTTTCCAGATGAAATTTCAACCCCAAAAAAAAAAAAGGAAAGAAAGAAAAGATAAGAAATAAACTCTTTATTTTCTTCTTTTTTTTTTTCTCTTTCCGGGAAAAGAAAAAAAGATTTACCTATAACTTCTTTAGTTCCTTTATTTTTCCTTTATTTATTTATTTTGATAAATAAGATTCAACCTCTTACTCACTCACATGATGAGAGAGGAAGAAAAGTCGATCTAAAAAGAGGGACCCACTGATCGAACGGCCCAAGTTGCAGAGGCAGAAGTCCACAATCATGGTCAGCCTCACTAGTGAGTGCCCATCCCACGTGCCAACCTGACCAGAGCGTGGGCTGCCTCTATACAAAAGTAGAGGTCTTTTTGGACTCAGGACCGACAACCTCAGGCCCACCACAAAAGCTAAAAATATCCACATCCCACAAATATCAAAGACTATTTTTAAAAAAATAAATAAATAAAAAGAAAAAGAAAAAGAAAAAACCCTCAAAACTCTTTTCTTTTTTGTTTGAAAAGTAAATAAGAAAGTCTCTAAACTCACAACGCACGTGCGACTGTAATTATTACCTACCTACAGCTCCTTCATCCTCATCTCCAAAAATCAAAAAAGAAATATAAAGTTGGAGTTTCTTTAATAATATCAGAAAAAAAAAAATATATATATATATATATATATATTGTATTGGTAGTTATTTATTTATTTATTTTTTTTGTAAATCTGATAGTTATTTATTTGATAAGATTTTAATAAGATTTAAGAGGGTTAGTAATTTTTGATTTGATATGATTTTAATAAAATTTATTGACCCTTTTACAAGAAAGACCCTACCTGTAAAATTCTCTATCAAAACTAAAAATAAAATTTAAAGAGGAAAAAAAGAAAAGAAAAGAAAAGCATCAGCCCTACATAAACACAAAAGGCTACTCATAACCCAATAACGTGATCCGTTATCTTAATCCCCGTACATTTGGCTCTTCTATAACGGACTTTCCCACTGTTCCATACATTCAAACATTATTGTGCCTAAACTACCCCGGATTTGTGATCAAACAAAATACTATTAAAAAGAAAAGGGATTATTTTCTATTTTAACCTTACATTTTGAGTTTATCAAAAGGGTATTTGAACTTACACGATTTTAACAACTTGCTCATTTAGATTTTTAATTTTGATAAATTGTCATTTAATTTATAAATTTATTTCAATATGCTCTATTTTGACAATGGTTGTGTTAAATTAGTGTTGAAAAAACTAATTCAATGAGGATTTCCAGCATCTCAATTTAAATATTTTAATCTCTCAACTTTTAATCATTTAAATCTAATAAAAATTCTAAACAAATTTAGTAAAATGGGACGCATTACAATAATTTTACAAGTTCGCGGGTTGATTGTTAAAATTAAAAAATTTTCAGATAATTTACTAAACCACGACAAGTGGTGACAATTGTACTAAAAACCCTTAGTAAAACAATACCTCCATATTTTTCATGTTCCCAAAGAATGGCGTTTACTAATCGACCAATAACAAAAAGATTAGTTATATTGTGTATTTAGAAAATATGTGTTACGAGTTAAGAGTGGTATGCCTATAGAATTATCCATTATAAAAGTATCATTTGATTGCAATTTGTTTAAAGATTACTTCCTCAAGGAGTCAAACTAATAAACATTCTCTAAATTTGGAAGATATATTTAGGGTACATAGATATGATGTATTTATGGAATAAATCGTTCTTTTAAAATCTACCCATTGACACCTTTAATTGAATTAAAATCATAAAATTAGTCAAAGTTTTAGACGTACCCTTATCAATCTATTTTCACATGGTTTATTCTTAAAAAGCAACACTAGAGTTAAAATTTTAACTGAATTTGGCACCAAATATAGCATATAATAAATTTAACACGAAAAGCATATAAATGCGTCGAAAAATAACTGTATTAAATTTGACATTGCAATGGAGATGTTGATCATTTCTAAATTCTAAAGATGGATATAATGGTAATTGCATGAACGTTAGGTTTGAGTATATATTGTGTTGTCTGTTTATATATAGACACAAAACTGCACAAAGTTTTCTGCCACCTCCACACAAATTAGGCTCTCTCTCTCTCTCCTCTCTCTCTCTCTCTCTCGCGTTTCTTCCTTTCTTTGCTTCTGCTTGATCTTCTTCTTCTCTTTCTTTTTGTTCAATGGAAGAAGACGACCAAAAAGAGTTGCAGCTCCTGCCAGCTCCGCAGTCCGTACCTTCTTCATCATCGTCCCACATCATGTCATCTCGGCCGTTGGATAATTCTAGCTCCATCATAAGGTACCGATCAAAAGGTAATATTAACGGCTCTGATCATCGCCATCATCTAGACCTTCAGCTCTCGATCAGCCTAAGGCCAATACACGACATTGACGATGACGACGACGAGGACGACGAAGATGAGGATGTTGCGGCGGGGACGACGGGCTGCGTGGAGGCGCTGAAGTGGCAGGCGGCGGAGCAGATTCGGCTGGCGGCGATGGAGAAAGCGTACGCGGAGCGGGTGAGGGAGCTGACGAGGAGGGAGATGGAGCTGGCGCAGTCGGAGTTCGCGCGTGCGAGGCACGTGTGGGAGAGGGCGAGGGAGGAGGTGGAGAGGGCTGAGAGGATGAAAGAAAGAGCCACGACCGCCACCGCGACCACAACCACGACCACGTCAGGCTCCACATGCATGGAGATCACTTGCCAATCTTGCAGGCAAAGGTTTAGGCCTTAACTTAATAATTAATATATGGATGGAGGTTGATCATGATCAAAAAGTTCAAAATAGCTCAAAATCAAAGCCCCTTTTTGATCATGATGATCAAAGGACGTTTATTAATTTCCTCGTGAGATGATGATCATGATCATGATGGTGACTAGCTAGTATAATTTGTGGTTAATTAAGTTCATGTGCTTATTGTTTTGGGTAATGGGTTTGTTGCAAAGGATTTTCTCCATTAATTGCTGGTGAAGGAAAATTAAATTAATAACAAAGAGCAAAATAAATGGCTAGCTAGCTCGAAATAATGTTATTAATTACTTTTTGAATTAGTAATTATTGTGGCTTATGCCTCGTTCTTTTTTAGTTAGTTCCCTGATCAAGATTCTGTATGATGAATAAAATAGAGAAGCTTTTCTTTTAAACCCTCATGGTCAAGAATAGAATTATATTATTTTTGCAGGCCGGCAGTACTAATATTGTTTTTGTTTAGTTTTTTAATTTTAATTTGGAAATTAATAAAACATGTATGCATGCATAAATTTATACATTGGTATATATAAACAAACACAAATATTGTACATAATCTAATACTATGAAGCACACATTTCTCACGAGTTAGTCCTAGTATTCCAAATTAATTATACACATTTTTTCTTTTGGGTAAAAATGCATCGATTCACCAAATAATTACACTTCGTTTACTCATTAGGGGAATGAATAATTACTTATATTGTTGGATAGTACTTAAAACTTATAAATATGTTAGAATTCTTTATTCTTTGCGGGATGAAATTAATATGCACAAGAGATTCCTGAGAACTCTTATTCACTTGATTATCTTGATCATAATCTTTAATTTGTCCGAAGAAGTAAAACTCTTCGACGCTCAAGCTATATATCTTTCTCTGAGAATTTTCATTAATCAAAACGTTAGTTTTAGTGGAATTAAGAAAAACGCATATTTCTTTAATCACTCACCCTTAGTTATAGGCTTCGGGAATGTACGAGAATGTGGTTTATTCTAATCTGGGTAGCCGATTCTCAAGAGCTTTGCTTTCAACCATTAGATTAGATTTCATAACATGTTTTATTTAAAATCGGTTCTTAATAATTCTCATGTATTTTAGGTCGTTATGATCCTATTAGCTATTTATAAATTCTAAACAAAATTTCGTATCTTTATGGAGGATTTTTAATTTTCCCTCCCACAATCTCTATTCACAAGTTGATCAGAAGAAAGTTAAATGTGCCAAATTTAGCGATGTAATCTCACATTGTTTAAACTTCCAGCAGCTGGTTGGCAAAATTGGGTTTTTCTGCACAATATAATTTCCACTCATATATATATATCCTATAAATATATACTCCACATATATAGTATCGATGTATGAACACGCAGTAAAAGCAGATAGGGGAATAAATAAAAAAAATAAAAATAAAAAAACTCCATGAGAATTGAAATTAATGTTGTTTATTAATATTGCTGTCAAAAGTTTCACAGTTTGAAAGTTTCGTCTTCACGAGATTTGATGGGACACATATACAAATATTCCAATCATAAATGATAAGAATATTTCTCTTCATATTTGGTACACACTGCACGCGCATGAATTCAATATATATCAGATATAATTGGTATGATTGAAATTAAATATATAAATTCCTGTGAACGTCAAGGTACAAAACAACAACCTGACGGAAAAAAGGGTACATACAAGTATATAACTACTTGAATAGAAGCCACATATGTATGGTCTTGACTTGAAGTTAGTAGCAGCATGTAAAATGTCGGACACTGACATATATATATATATATTTATATATTTATATATATTAAGCCCAGCTGTCGTAACATTTTTTTTATATAAATTTGTAACATTTTAGTGTAACGAATAACACTGAAATAAGTTACGTGTAACATAATGATAGATTATATTTAGTCCATTTAGACAAAATGAGTGTGATACGAACATATAAATGATGTCACACAAGCGAATGAAAAAATGTTATATTTGTCGGAGTGGTATGGCAACCGGAGTGCGGACATTTTCTATGCATTAATTCTTTCAATGTACAGAACAAACGAAATATGAGAACGACATATTGCTCAGGAAAAAAAGCAGCCACACAGTTCCAAATTTGCAGGCATGTTAAAATTCATTGAACTAATTGTTAGTAATCAAGAATTGGCCAAGTTGGGAAGAAATAAATGCAACTTGTGTCAGTTTAGGACTAATAAGGAATTCTCTTTGCAAATACTAATAATAACCTGAAAGGGAAGCATAATGAGCTGTTTTAAAGTGCATTTTAGTTTTTAGAATATGATACGAACACCAGGCAAAAGAAACTCTCCCATGTCCTTGCTTAGCTTGAGGTTTTTATGGACGTTAACGTTTTTTTTATATCTTACGAGGTGTGTCAATTTGAAATGATTTTAGAACCGCGTCTGGTTCCGTTTTTCATTGGAAACATAAATAAAAAAAGATACACGGTTTTCTTGTTTTGTAAAGGAAATGAGAAAACGCTTTTTAATCTTTAGAATGATAGGAACACTAGGCAAATGAAACGCTCCCATGTCCTAGCTTAGCTTAAGGTCTTTAAGGACGTTAAGGACCCATTTGGTGGAATTTTGAACACGTTTTCTTATATCTTATGAGACGTGTCAATTTAAAATGATTTTAAAACCGCGTTTGGTACTCTTTTTCTTTGGAAAATTACATAAAAAAGATACACGGTTTTTCATATTTTGTAAAGGAAATGAGAAAACTCTCTAGAGTTGTTTTTCCTTTCTGATCTTTATTTTTTAGGACTTACATAATTTACATGTACTTTTCAAAACATAACTAAATAAAATTTTACTTCTTTCTTATACTAAAAGTAATTTCTATACTTTTTCCAAAGAAAAAAAAAGATCTCTTTAGAACGACGGTTGATCATAATTCCAAAAACGATTCCAAAATAACATTTTTAAAAAATTCCCAGTTCATTTTCTTACTCAAAATTTAAATCATTTTAAAAACGTTCTCGTTTCTATACTCAAAACAAAATCATTCTAAAAACGCCCTCATTTTCGTACTAAAACAAAACCGTTCTAAAAACGCCCTAGAACGAGCCCTAACATTTGGGACTCGATCGTCTGAAGACACAGTCATGAGAATAGTCAAATCTGACGCAAACAGGGGTCAAGTTTGGAACCTTTGATGTGGATAGAAAGGCAAATGAATCAGAACAAAAAGCAAGTGATTCACCAGGGGAAGAGGACAGGAATAGCTGTATCCACTTGTATTCAAGCTCTTAACTTTTGCTTATTTAGACACCAAACACCCACTACCCATCTCCATGATTCAACCCAAAAGAAAGTTACAAACTTTTTTTTTTTTTTTTTTTTTTTTTTTTTTTTTGAGCACTCAACTAATTTCACCAGCACAACAATGAACAGTTTTATTCCTCCCAAAATGTGTCTCCCTTGAATGGAATTAGCTTAGTTTGTCAGCAACCTCCTCAAAACATATTACTCAAAAGACTGTTAATCTGTCAATGAAAAAGCGCTTCAATCATACACTTGATTTCTTGATGAGGGTCAATAGGTCATAAAATCCAGTATGTGGGGTGCAAAAGGATCATGATCAATTTTCAAGAAACAAAAGTGACTCCCACAAAAAAAAAAAAAGTACAATTTGCAAGCGGATCGAGAGGACTAGTCTATATACATGGATTGGAACGAGTTCTGGGATGAAAAAGGTAATAATCTTTCATGATCCAATTTAATTATTTCGGCTTGTCCAATCCCTTTATCAACATTATTTTTTGGTCACTAGAATCTTCTAAAGTGATTAGCCTAATTTAGGATCTATACAGAGAACTCTACTTTTTTGATCACTTCTTGATCACTTCCTAATCACTTGTGTTCTCGCTTTAATTATTTGCTATTAAAGTCGTTCAAATTTTTTTTAATAATTCTAATATTGCCTAAGCATCAACTTTGCATACATATACACACACACACAACACATACTAGGAGAGCATAGCGTGGTTAAATACCGGCTAGTTCTTTAATTTCTTGTTAGAAGAGTCAAAATCTTTCATGACACACACGCATATACATATATATATATATATATATATATATGTTACTATGTATGTATATACAGGAAGATATATTTGAGTTACTATTGTCCTACTCTCTAATGAAAAGTTGGATTTGGACTATGGAATTCCATGTTGGTCAGTTTCCCAATGAACCAAAAACATTTATCAATCATTGGACCCTAATTGAGCTATAATTATAGTAACTAAAAAGTCACACTAGTGATGATAAGCATTCTCTCCGACATTATGACCACTTGCATAATAGATGCCTTGTCTTTTATCTTTCATTTGAATATTACTCTTGAATAAATACGAGGACCAGAATTCTTTCAGAAAGTTGATGAGCAGGATAAAGGATATATATGTAGGACATGGGGCACCAAAACCTTAACATTTGTCTTTTCACATTGTCCACATATGATCATAGACCCGATACTGTATTTCTATATCTATATGTTTTGTGTATATGACATGATATATCATGGAAACACTAAAGAGCGAAATTATTACAAGGGAAGAATTTGGAGGAACTCTACTCTTGTGTGATATGATCAATGTTTCACTATATAGTGTGTCTAGGGTGGCCGTAGGTTTTTTTGCTCAAGTTTTTGCCGTACTTGTTACCAACATGAAAATCTTTTCCACGTCACAAAAGATTACTAGTAGGACACCACAGCATTTACATTCAAATACTCAAGACAAATGGGGGGGAAAAAAAAAAAAAAAAAGCTGACCAAATTCAAAAATGGAAATGATGATTGGTATGAATTATGTATGCATACACACAAACACAAGATCACATATGGAATATGGCTATTTTTGACATTTTATTTTGGATGAGAACCTTTCTATATCACGTTATTTCATTGATGTTTAAATACATTAGGGGGGATATGAGAAAGTAGTATTTCATGTTTTTGCAATTTGGAGTTGGCAACCAAAAGTTGTATGGATGTGGTGAGGCCCTATTCAAGGTTTTGAAGGGGACAAGAAATGGTGGTTTTTTCAGCAAGACATGTGAGGGTTCACCTGATAACAGTTTTCATGATTGAACGTAGATGTGAGCCAAGATCAAGCATGAAAAATTTTCCATCAAAAAAAAAAAAAAAAAGAAGCAAAATCTCTTAATTGGAACCTAAAGAGGAAAATACATTGAACCGTCGAGATTGTTTAGTCAGGTCGTTTTCGAACCGATTGAGAAAGAGGAGCAGCTCACTTTCACCCAAAAAAAAAAAAAAAAAATCATAAAAATGGTGGGGCTCAAACACTTGCAGAACCAACCATTTTCAGAAGGGTGAATCACACAATAACCCTAATATTAGATTGTACCAACAGGTGTCATCAGAATGCAGT